AGTATAAAATTCTTTATTAAATTAATTAAAATATTAATTAAATATTGTAGGAAATAATATAATATAAATTAGTAATTAATATATATATATATATAATAATATAATAAAAAATTCTTTATTTAGGACAAAGTAATAGAAATCCAAATTTCTTTCAAATGAAAGAATTTAATTAACAATTGTATAATAATATTGAATGAAATAATTAAATATAAAAACAACTGTGTGATCATCTTTTAATTTAACACGCCTATAAAACACGGAACAGGGAATTTATCATTAAAATTAATGAAATACGACGATGGAAAATAGCATCGTCGTCGATTTTATCTGCGATTTCTCGCGCTTAATACGTTTCGCTCGACAAAATTTAATATTCTTACACACGCATATAAGCGTGTCTTCTTCTTCCTTTTTGTTTGCATGCAAGTTGCATACACATACGTAACGAGTAAGGCCGATTTATCGCGTGTTTGTTTGTCTGTTGTGTGAGTAATATACACATGTGTACATAGAGTACCCATACTACACAAAAATTATCTTCCAAGTTATCTTGTTAATTAAAAAAAAAAAAAAAAAAAAATAAAAATAAAAAGAAAAAAAATTCGTCTTTCGTGGGTGCGTTCTGTTTCCGTTTTCATTCTACTCACTCGCATTATTTACTTTGTTTAATAAAAAGCAATTTTCATTACAGCTAACAAATCATACTTTTTTTTTCTTTTTTTTTCTTTTTTTTTGTTTACATTTATTTCTTCTTTTTTATTTCATCTTTTTAATTCAATGAATATTTTATTAATGATTTCAGAACGGTGAAAGATTGTTCATCGGTGCACCTGGAAGTTGGTATTGGCAAGGTAAGTTCATTTCTTTTGGTTTTAATATATATTTTTTTGAATTATGTTCTTCTTCGATAATATTTATTTTCTAGTATTAATCGATGAAGCATATTTTTTTCTTCTCATTTTTTCTTTTCTCAAAATTAATATAATAAACAAAATGTCAACTATTGATTGCATAATTAAAAGTAATGTATTTTAACACTCTTTAATTGCCGCTCACACAACATGTGTGTGATAGCCGAAACACACATTGGTTGTTATTTTATTTATAACTATATATATATATATATATAATTAAATTTCTTGTTAAATTGTTGTTTTTTGTTTTATGGTAATTTTTTCGTGAATGATAATAAATTTTTTGTTAAATTAATTCTTGAAAAATATTACCGAGCCCCTGACGACGTTTGACTGCATACACGACGTGCGGCCATTAAAGTGTCAATAATTACGAAAATGACAAAATCATATGCTTCATCGTAATGACTATTATTATTATTAAATATATTATTAGATGTATATAATTTTGAAAAATAATAATTTTATTGAAAAATGTATTGAATTTATTTACGCTATCTGCTACTAACAGGACGATTCAGAAGCGGCATAAATCAAGACGGATTTTCATTCAAATAAATGACACAATGTGGTGTTATAATATTAC